TCGAAGTCGCCACTGCCTTCCCCCTCCGAGTTGGCAGTTTGCAGCCTAAAATTTAGCTTTAGCCTCTTCTAAGTTTAGTTTTCTTCTGTTTTTCTCCTTTTGGTGTGGAAGAGGAGAATGTTTGTTTCATGCTGTAAGGGCTCTTGGCTCCCGAACATGATTTTTGCTGTATTATTAGAATTACTTGTTAACGCTAGTTTCACTGATGGCTGCTGTGAGTTTCTTCACCGACCCACGTGCGTGAAGTTCTTGCATGCTATCTAAAATTCACTTGAATGGTAAATTTTAAAGGATACTGCAGAGCTAGTTTGCTTCAGAAATCCATATTCACAATATTTCCACTTTCTACAGCAGCAAAACTTTATTCCCTTCAGGTTCACTTGTAGAAACAGACTGAAAAGCAAAGACTATATAGATTTAAAGTGTTTACATAAACTGGCCAAGAAGTCTGAGGAAATACCATTTTATTGTAATAACCAAACAAAAAACACATAAAATACTTAAAAGATTATTCTTGATTATTTTTAAAGGTCCCATAGAGCTCTGTCAAATATAATTAAAAACCGGAATGAAGCCATTTCTTACTTTTAATGTGACTTGGATAGCACTCTAGCAATCAGAATATCAAAGAAACTTAAATATAACAATTCTATCTTTTCCGTACTGGAAGCTAGATGTTGGTTAAGATGGGTGGCCATATAAATCTTTTAAATTAAACATTTTATCCCAATTATAAATGTTTACTTAGTTTTAATGTATTCAGTGAAGTTTGCATTGAAATCAGTTTCAGATTCTGTAATTAGCATTTTTACTGCAATTCTGGTTGCAACTGGTTTCTTCAGTTCGGATAAATTTGGAAGACTGGGAGAAAGCTGACAGAAGCCAAATGGGTAGGTGATGCCAGCTTAGAACAGTATGTTTAGAGTCATTTAAAAGCAAATGTACTTAACATTTCATTGGATTTGAGGGCCTAGGAGGATGACATTACATTTTAACTAAACACTGAAATGAAGTTTCTCCAATCAGGTACCCTGAAGAAGATTTAACCAGCACTCCTGTTATTGTTATATCACATCTGGAGTGCAACAGGTTAGGAGAAGGCTCCTTTAAGTGAATTTCCAAACTGGAATAAGGATAAATCATTTCTGCTGGATCTGAATTTTATTAAATATATTTATATTTAAGTAAAATATATTAAGTATATTAAAATATTAAATAATTCTCGAGCACCTTTGTGCATAAAAAGATACGTTATAGCAGTGGTTCTCAACCTTTTTAATGCCGTGACCCTCAACCGGTTCTAAGTGGAGGACTACCCAACTGGTCGTAAGTGGAGGACTACCCAACCGGTCGTAAGTCAAGGACTTTCCCTGCCTGGGAGCGCTGTGCATGCATGGTGCCACCCCCTGCACCATTTGAAGAATGGGACTTTTGGCGGTCTCAGCAGGGCAGAGACAGCCTGGACAATTCCTATTGGCTTTTGAAAGCCAATAGAATTAGACTCTATTCAAGAGAGTCTATTCTATTGGCTTTCAAAAGCCAATAGACTAAAAGGGAGTAGCACAGCTAAGGAAAAGGGGGAAAAAATGGCGGACTGCGTTGTTTGGCGACCCCGTGAAATGGTCATTCGACCCCAAATGGGGTCCCGACCCACAGGTTGAGAACCACTGCGTTATAGGTACTGTTTTTTATGAGAATAATATTCTGCTTCCTCTTCCACTCCCCAAGTTTACTGCGGCATTACTCTTGATTCTCTCAATCTGTCTTCACAATATTCCTGTGAAGTTGGGGTAATATTATCCCTTTCTTAAGTAAGCTAAATGAGAATTTGAAGCTTTGTCCAATCTGCATTCTAACTACTGTATGGGAATAACGTAGATAATATTTTTAACATGCAGCTACAGGAAAGCAGTGGCCTGTCCAGAATCCCCAAGGATTGGGGCATGACTAAAGTTTGATTTAAAGTTCTCCAGCCCTTGACTCTCATGGTTACATCAACAAATCCGAAAGGCTGATGGCGCATGTTTGTCCAGTTTTTGGAAAAGAACACCTTTTGGCCAGATAAGCTGTTTGTACTTCAAACAAAAATGCATGACGCTATAAGCCCTTTTTTGTTTCTGCATGGTCTTTTTTTTTCTTTTTCTTTTTTTTCTTTTTACAAATTTTGATTACAGTACAAATTAATAAAAAAACCATACTTGGAGAAAGAGAAGAGAATCGAAAGAAAAAAATAATAAGTGCAGGAAAGAAGTGACTTTCAGCCTTCATCACAACAAGGATAAACAAATTTAGTAATTCTAAATCTCCTTTAAGGTTACAAACATATATCTTGTTTCCGGCCCTTCCCTCACTTATAAGCATTTGAGCAAAAAGCTAAATAAGATTTGATCTAAGAAAAATATAAATGGATTAAGATAAATTTGGTTCAGAAAAATAAATTCATTTTCATGGGAAACAAACTTATTTTGGCTATCTTACCTAAGTTCTTAGGTTTATGATTATTTTTTCTTTTGTTCAAAGTTGAAGATAAAACTCACTCTATGACTTTCCAAACTTGTCCTTCCAAAGATCTTTAATACCTTTAAGAAAATTAATAGGCAATTTCTAAAAGTGAGTAGTAAGTGAGATATTTACACTTGGTGTCCTTGAAAAGGCTGAGCCACATTGTGCAAGCAAGATGGATAATCTTGTCTTCTGATGCTCAGGCCCATAGAAAATCTCTGTCTCGTAGTTGCCTCATAAAAACCAGCCATCTGGAGCACATGTGGGTAATCTTCTGTCCTCTCCTTATCCAGAGAGGTTCCAAAGATCCAGTTTATTCATCAATCCCTTGATTTTTGTCATGATAGTCAGCTCTGCTTTTGCGGAGACATCTTCAGTTCACCACACCTCCCCAGAAATCTGTTTCTCCATGTTCTGAATGGGTTTTATTCTCTGAAGCAGGTGCAATGCCATTGCTTGAAGTTTATTTTCTGATTTCACTTTTTAAAAATCAATCTCAGTGCTCATCTTCCTATACAAACACATGTGTTTCTGCCTATCCTTGCTAATACTCAACATAAATCAGTCTTTTGATTTCCACAATCCTGAATGTTAGCTATCATTGTTGTGGTCAGTACTTGAACTTTGACTTTTTTGTCCTCATTTCATTCATCTCAAATTAATAAAGTGAAGCCACACCTCATTTAGTTTACTTAGTTGGTAGAGTATGGAAACTTGACACTTTGCCATGCTGATCACAAGCTTGTAAGATAAAACTGCTTTGCTAAGCTGATCAGACATTAAAGAAAACTGGAGAAAAAAACCCTAGTCAAACCTTAATTTCAAATAAAAAAATCTTCAGTGGTCCAGAAAATCAAATTCTGATCAGGATTGTAAGAATACAAATTACACTAACAACAAGCACAATAGGAACTTGTTGTCATTACGGTGTGAAGTCTTTTCATTATTGTTTGAACTTTCTGTGTTTTGTTTTAATTAAAGTCCTTCAGAAATAATCTTGGGAGAAGAAAGCAAGGGAATAGCTTTGGAAGGTACTCCATAATATATAGAACAAATGGAGAACGTAAGAGGAATCAGTGGAAATGTATAATATGAGGAAGAAGGTGTTTGTCTTTAGGAGGGTATCCTGTATTTCTACTAGTTATCAGACAAATTACGTTAAGTAAAAAGTAAAGGTTTGTGAGAAATATGTTTCCGGGTATTGTTAAAGCAAAGGAAAAGCAAAGAAGATGAAGACGGCACCATGCCCTTGGACACAGTCATTGGTGGAAAGCCCTGCCTTGCATTTTAGTGTCCCTTGTTCGTTTCTGCCTCTGTTATTGAGGTTATATCTGCCAAAATAAAAAAGTCTGCTTCCTTTTCTTGGAATATTGTATGTAAATTACTGTGCCCTGGAACAAAATCATTCTATCCTAAGATCAAATTCCAGTGTGGCATATTCGTAGTGCCTAGGCTCAGAAATCTGTCTACCCTTCTTCCTGTGTTTCATTTAGGAAAGATTTTGTTTACAAATTCATTTCATTTTGTGTGTAGTAGTTAGAAATACTGAGCTTTACCAAATACATGTATTTAACAGTGTGTCTGGACAATGGAATTATTGGATATTTAGCATGGAGAAGATCCAGAATCTTCTAGAAAGCATGAAATGTAATTTCTTATCAGTTCTGAACACCTTAGATCAGGGGTGTCAAACTTGCCAGCCCGCAGGCCGGTTGCATCATGCGGAGGCCATGCCCACTCCAGCTCTGGCAATGGGAAAAAAGTCACGATATGTCGCGACATGTCAGGTGATGCAGTGAGTTTGACGCCTGTGCCCTAGAGATGATAAATGCCATTATTTAGTTTTAATTCTTCATTTTGTAATTAATGACATTTATGACAGAATCTTTGATTTTGGAATAATACTCACTTTTCAATACTCTTAATTAGTTCAGGCAGAACACTAACATAGTTATGCACCACTGTGAAGTTGCTTGGAACATGAATCATATTATGTTCATGTTTCCTCAATGTAAGTCCTTTTCACATATACATTAATTCTAATACTGTCAGTGTGTCTCCTTATCTTTTTCTGAACTCTCAAAAGAGCTGAAGTTGGTACACTCTAAGGAAAGATGACCTTTCCAGGTAGCGAAATAAACTAGGTTAATTAATTTGAAATGCTAACTGATGCTTTTATCAATTCAGTGTAGCTTATATTACAATAAAAATGGATATAAATCAAGGGGAAATTAAGAGGATTTGTAGCTTGTGGAATCCTTGATGCCCTCTAAGTTTGATGGTTTTCTTGGCAGATGTTTCATTACCAAACTAGGTAACATCATGAGCACTGATGACGTTACCTAGTTTGGTATTGGAATGTCTGCAAGAAAACCACCAAGCTCAGAGGGCACCAAGGATCCTACAGTTCAACCCTGAGCTACAAATATTCTCTTCGATTGGTATTTGTAGCATGAACCTATCTTTTAAAATAAAAAGTAAAAAGAGTATAAACTTACCATATCGACCGTGTGTGGGGGTCTCCTATAGGTATCTCCAAATCTTAAAGACCTTGGCAATCTAGGGCAGACTGGGAACCATATCATTGTCTGGTTTCCATGCTACAATTTCAAGATAAATGACAACATGGAATAAAGGAGATCCACACTAAAAAAATTGAAAAAATCAGAAACTTTATAAGGTTTTAAATCCCTCCCACAAAGAAATAACTTCGAAGAAGTTGTTTATTTCTCTGATAAGGAGCTCAATAAAGCCCCCAGTGCCCCTCCCACCATTAGCTAATAACTAAGCTTGGTGAGGCTATGGTTTGCAGTTTCTTCTTACACTTGTTAGCATTCCTCTAATCACAAAGACACCCCAAGTAGCTTGTCAGGTTTCTATGACTCAAGTTTTGCAAACAATGCCAAAAAGCGGTTGCTTTCACAAAAGGCGCATAGAGACAGTTGGGCTATTTGCTTCTCAAAATGATAACCCTTGTATATTCTAGGCATGATTTGGGAAGATTTTCTCCAGCTGGCAGCTTCTAGATACTGGAGGTGTGTTGGATTTGCACTTTCTGACATGCTGACTTAGAATTCTGAGAGTTAAAAACTCAAGGCAACTGGAAGGTGCCAGGTGGGAGAAGGGTGACATCCATCCAGCTGCTATCGTAGATGCATGTTGGTTCAAGCAGACAACTACCACCCCATCAATCAAAGACATTGTTCAGCCTTCTCTCCCAAAAAGATTATTTTTCTGCTAAAAAAGAAAAATGTAGCTTACCGGAAAGTTTGACCCTGTTCTCTCCCCTTTCTTTCTTCCTATCACTACAGACAATAGGACCTACTTAAGTTTGGCTGATCTTAAAAACTACTAAACAGTGTCTGACCTATTTAATGCATGGATGGGAAACAACCAACAAATTCCAGGATTGTAGACTACTTGAGAAGACATCCTGGAAGAAAGTAATGACACCATATCTGTTTGTAGAGAAAGTCACATGGGTTTGTCCACAAAGTTGTTTTTTTTTTTTTTTAAATCTCATACTACCAGTCAAACTCAGCTCTTAGACCTGTATGCTTAGATAGCTTTCAAGCATCTTTGTTAGGTCTGCATGCAAATGACAAGAGCTAATGTCTATCTGTACAATCCTTCTGAGAAGATAACATATCGTGAACTATTTAAGGAAAACTGTTAAGCAACTCTGGTGTCCAGAGCACAGGAGTGAGGGTAGCTAATCAGTCTCCATTTCTCTTCCTAAGGATGACACATCACAATCCCTAGAAAGATCAGCTACAAAATCCTCTGTATTATGTTTCTGACTACTTGGAATGGTGTAATATAAGAAATTCTCCCCTGGGTTCAGTACCGACACGATGTTGCATAAATCCTTCAAAAGAAATGCCTTAGGATCATACAGAAGTATAAACAAAGCACCTTCTATGCTGTTTAACATCTTTTTTCCAGGCCCACATAAAGAGTTTGTGAAACTGCTCCTGACTGTCGCTGCATATACCTGTGGAGATAGGACCAGTGTTCAAAATAGTTCAGTGGTCCTGGAAAGCAACCCAGTTGCTTTCATGAGTCGAAAGGAAGTGCTTTATTCTGTTTTAAGAAATTTTGTGTGCCAATTGACTCAAAGCTCTGTTAGATGTAGAAATGCAGTCAAAATTTGCTGTTGCAAAAATTCAGGTCAGTTTAAATCCAGTCTGAGTGCCACACATCTTCAAGTCTTGTATGCTTAGTGAAAGTAGTCTAGTTGGATCTTCAAATGCAACTTTTACAGTATATTATAGTGCCGTGTAGATTTTCTTTCCGTTTACATAGCTGTAGTTAACATGGGCTAAAAAGCTGAGCAGAGTCAGACATAGTACTTGGAAGGGAGACCACCAGAAAATCCTATAGCAGTGGTTCTCAACCTTTTTAATGCCGCGACCCCCAATCGGTCGTAAGTCGAGGACTACTCAACCGGTCGTAAGTCGAGGACTACTCAACTGGTGCACCACCGTTTGCAGAATGGGACTTTTGGCGGGCTCAGCAAGGCAGAGACAGCCTGGACAATTCCTATTGGCTTTTGAAAGCCAATAGAATTAGACTCTATTCAAGAGAGTCTATTCTATTGGCTTTCAAAAGCCAATAGAATAAAAGGGAGTAGCACAGCTAAGGAAAAGGGGAAAAAAATGGCGGACTGCGTTGTTTGGCGACCCCCGTGAAATGGTCATTCGACCCCAAATGAGGTCCCGACCCACAGGTTGAGAACCACTGTTCTATAGCAATAAATTAGAGAGGGAAGCTGAAAAACCATATTGGAAGAAAGTAATGATAAACTATGTCTATGCTCTTCTAGAGAAAACTACATGGACTTAGTTTGACATGAAGGAGACATTACCAAGTTTTTTTTTTTAACATTAGTTAATCCCCCATGCCCCTCAAAATTTCCCTAGGCAGTGCTTCCTTTAGCTCATGGCTCAGTTGCTGGCTCTTTCGCAAAACATTAGCTTCGCTTAGCTGCAAACATCATGACTATTTATAAGGAAACGTGAGATTTACCTGCAAATATGCGTTAGAACAGTTCTTAAAATACATCTTTTTCAAAAGTTTAATTTTGCAATTAACTTTTCAGGAAAGAAGTATGGACTGCAGCCATTTCAATTAATTGCTGTTGTCTCTGCCGTGGTAGCATCCGCTTTCTTGATGTACAAGAAAGAGATCTGAGATCTTTTATAACCTTGTTCTATTCTGCCTGATCCTGTCCAGTGCCAGCAGTTAGTCCAGTGATGGTGAACATGTTGGGCTCAACAGGTCAAAAATTCAGAAAAACATGACTGCTGGTGTTTTTCATATACACACCCCTGTTTCTTAACAAATTCGCTTTAGATACTGAGATGGACAGCATATAAATTTAATGAATATTTACATACTTGTAAATATTTTTCTATTTGTCTTTGTCTCTCAGAAAAAAATGCCTATCTGAGGCAGTTTCTGGTTGCACAAGACCTGGAACCTTCAGAAGATGCTTTTGTGTGGCCTTGCAGCTTCCGAAAAGACCAGGAAAGCATGCCCTGCTCTCATGTGTCACCTGGAGGTTGCAGAGGCTGTGTGTGCAGAGGTTCCGAAGGCCATCTGAGGAGGCACAATATTTTCGAGGGTATGTCAACTTTTCCATTTGTTGATATAAAGCCAGTTTTCTCTTGATCATATGGTTGAGTTTTATGTATGGTTGGGTGTAGAATAGGCCACTCCACAGTTTGACCATAATTACACTGTGGCTGGGCTGCCAATTTTTTGTCCAGTGCACTTCAAGATACTGATTTATCACCTTTAAAGCCCTAAATGGCATGGGATCAGGATATTAGTGGGACTTCCTTTTCCCTGAGAGTTTCTGCCAGTTCCACTAGGTCAAATAAGGTAGGCACGCTCCAAATCCCTTTTCTTTCTTTCTTTCTTTTTTTTTGTAAAAATTTTTATTTCAATTTTCAATACATTTAATACTTTCAAAACATTATATTAAAAAAAGAAAAAAGAAAAATACCTGTAAAATAATACCTTAGGTGTCGCTCGTCTATCTCCCCCCAACTGCGTCCACCCTCTCAACCTTCCTTCCTACTTCCCTACTCCCTCTCTCCTCTCATCTCCTCTCTCCCCTCATCCCTTCCTCCCATCCAACTTCCTTCCATCCCTTCCTCCTCCCCTCTCATCCCTCTTCAGATACAGTTCAGGGGAAATACCCGAGCGAGCGGCACCTCCCTCTAAATTACTCTATCTATTTTATACATAATCCCACCCATCCTCTCCCACCCTACCCCTCCCCCCGCTTCTCGGAGCAAAATACAGGGTTAAACAAACACAAGCTATAACTTTTAAAACAAAAAATTAATACAATAAACAAATTCATACTTAACCCTTAACTCCCTCTAAACTTTAAAAATAATAATATAAACAAATCTACTATAAATCAAATATTATAAAATTCTATAAATAATAATTATTACATCAAGAAAAAATTAATCATAAAGAAAAAATCCCTTTTCTTACATGCCGCCATCTGGTGGAACCTAGGAGGTGTGTCTTCTCTTTAGCTGACTTTGCTGTGTGTGGAACACGAAGGACCTTGATGAATTGTAGGGGTAAGATGAGGATGGATGAGGCAAGATGGAAGGCTGATATGTGGAAGAGTGTTGCCCCAGAGTGCCAAGAGTTTTTATTGTGGTTCTTTGGGTGGTGGTTTATTTTTATTTTATTTTTTGAAAAAGGTTTTTGTACCTGTGTGAACTGCCCAGGGTTGCAGCTCATAATATAGGCAACTTTCCAAGTCATTTAAATAAATGCCCTCAATCTTTCCCAGCATTAGGCCCTTCTCCAGTGAGTCCTTCCTTCTCATTAGGTGGCCAAAGCATTTGAGTTTCAACTTCAGGATCTGGCCTTCTAAAGAGCCATCGGGGTTGATCTCTTCTAGGACTGACCGATTTGAACACCTTGCAGTCCAGGGGACTTGCAGGAGTCTTCTCCAGTACCATAGTTCAAAGGCCTCAATTCTTTGTCACTCAGCCATACTTATGGTCCAACTTTCACATCCATACATTGCAACTGGGAAAACCATGGCCTTGCCTATACACACTTTTGTTGGCAGGGTGATGTCTCTGCTTTTTAGTATGCTGTCTAGATTTGCCATAGCTTTTCTCCCCAGGAGCAAATGTCTTTTAATTTCTTGGCTACAGTCCGCATCCGTGGTGACCTTGGAGTTCAGGAAGATAAAATCTGTCACTACCTCCATTTCTTCCCCATCTATTTGCCAGGAATTGAGAGGGCCGGATACCATGATTTTGGTTTTCTTAATGTTGAATTCCAAGCCAACTTTTGCACTCTCCTTCTTCATCCACATCAAGAGGCTCTTTAGTTTCTCTTCACTTTCTGCCATTAGAGTGGTATCATCTGCATAAAGTTTGTAATCAAGGGAACAGAATATCTCTTAGTATTCTTAAATTTTAGAAAAAAATAATTTCCTTGTACTTTTAACAATTTACCTATGAATATGTTTATAGAGTTGCAATATTTATGGTGCAAAAATCCAGGCAATCACTAGTAACAATATAGTAGCCACAAAGACTGTGCAGTTCTCTTTGCTGCCATCTAGTGGTCACTAGACCTAGATATGGCAACTTTGGCTTAGGCCAGGGGTAGGCAATCTTGGCTCTTTTATGACTCATGGACTTCAACTGCTGACTCAGGAATTCTGGGAGTTGAAGTCCATGAGCCATAAAAGAGCCCAAGGTTGCCTACCCCGGCTTAGGCCCATCCAGTTGAGCAGGGGTGTCAAGCAGGCTGCCCACGGGCCAGATGCATCATAGTGAAACCATGCCCATCCCATTGCCGGCAATGGCAAAAAAAGTCACGATACATCGCGTCACGTGACGTTGCGAGTTTGACACCCCTACAGTTGAACATAATATATGTAGTTGACTTACGACACAATTGAGCCCAAAATTTCTGTTGCTAAGAGAAATATTTGTGAATTTTGCCCCATTTTATGACCTTCCTTGCCACAATTTTTAAGTGAATGGCTGTAGTTGTTGTTAGTAACATGGTTAAGTGCATCTGGCCTCCCCATTGACTTTGCTTGTCAGAAGGTCGCAAAAGGTGAATCACATGACCCTGGGACACTGCAGCCATCATAAATGAGTCAGCTGCCAAGCATCTGAATTTTGATCAGGTAACGATGGAGATACTGCAACGTTCGTAAGTGTGAAAACGGTCATATGTCACTTTTTTCAGTGCGGTTGTAACTTTGAATGGTCACTAAATGAGCTGTAGTAAGTTGAGGACTATCTGTAGTTTTGTTTTATTGATATTTACTCATGCTTGTAGGGCCGTTAGTCCCAGTTGTATCTACCCACCAGGAATGGCTTGTTCTGGATCTGGTCCATTAACTGGTGTGGCCCAGGAAGAGGTTTTCTGTTGGGCGTCCAACTTCATTGTTTTAAATATTTTATATGATGTTTTACTGAAAGACCATAAGCCACCTAGAATCACTTTGGCAAGATGGATGGCGTAGAAATTAAACAAACCAACCTAGAATAAACAAACAAACCTCTTTCCCTTAGGGATTAGATTTGTTCTGACTTTGCTGATCTTTTGTGACCTTGAAACCTGGTTTTGTTAATGAGCTCAGAGCCCTGGCTGTGTAATTGAGGCCATATCATGGTTTATTAATTGTTGTATTAATTGTTTTATCTCAGGTGTTATATACAGTATATTATTATTGGTTTATTATAATGTTTTTATTTTGTTTTTAATCATTGCTAGCAGCCCAGTATCATATATTTAAGATGGGTGCCAATATATATTGAATTAAATAAATAAATAAATAAATGTAATAAAGTATTATTTTGTTAAACGTGATCTGGGTTGTCTTCACTACTAATATACATCTATTTGTCCTTTACTGTGCATTGCTTTCTATAGCGTAAAAAGATAAAATCTCTTGAGTCAAGTTTGATTCTTGGTGACCTCATGGATAGAGACAGATCTGCGTAAGTTTCTTGATAACACAATGACTTTTTTTTTTTTTTTTGAGTTCCCACTCAAGCCTATTGCCCTGCTCTTTTGCTGTGGCTTCCCACCCAACGTTTAATCAGATTTACCATTGAATTGTCAAAATCAGTTAAGGATAGCTAACTGCTAGTGTATTCCTAAAATATAGATATTTATATCCAGGACTTGAAATGTTAATTTCTTTGTTTTGTAAAACACTTTAATAAAGCCAGGTCTACAGATCCCTTATCAGTTTGTTGTATAATCCAGATTTTACTAAAACAAGGAAATTTGTGCTCCATGTTGCACCTATATTTCTCTATTTTGAATATACTATATATCTGTGCTGTCATTTGCTTGCTGATATCCTTGCAAAAAACATTTTTTCCTATATGCTGTTTCCAGAAATGCCAATAGAGGAATAACTTTGATCACTGATAAATCAAAACATGTATGAAAACTCTGGAAACTGAGGACTAGATTCTTGCCCACTCTTGCTTATGAATCTTTGTTTTAATACAGTCCTTTCCCTTCACATACTTTTCATGGAAACCTTCATTGCCCATAACAACACTATAGGTAATTTATAACCATTCATTTCAGGATGCAAAGTTACAATGGCACTGAAAAACCTTATGACCCTTCTCTTCCGCAGCATCCCCAAAACTTTTGCAGCATCCCCAAGGTCACATAATCAAAATTCAGGCACTTGGAAATCGGTGTGTATTTACAAAGTTTGCAGCATCCCGGGGTCATGTGATTGCTATTTGCAACCTTCCCAGATGATGTTTAACAAGCAAAGTCAATGGGGGAAGAAGCAAGATTCACTTAACAACTGCAGGATTCATTAACAATTAAAGTGATTTGCTTAGTAGTCATGTCATGAAAGGTTGTAGAATCAGGTGCTACTCACTTAGCAACCAGGTTGCTAAGCAACAAAAATCCTGGTCTCGATAGTGGTCATAAGTCGAGGACCAATTGTATGGTAAGAATGTGTCCCACAGTGCCTATAAAGTGTCCTGTTATTTTAAAAAAAGGTTTTTTTTAATGTGGGCATGTAAACCAGCAGATAGATAAGCTGATTGAGCAGTACTGTATCTGCTGGGACGGATTAATAAGAAACATGGGAACAGGAAGGATTTGGATGGAAAGTTTTGTTTTGGCATTTTCTGGGTTTGGTTATATCGCATATCAGACTGAGGCCTTGGCAAAGAGTCCTTCTTGCTCTTAAAATAGTGGAGCGTGGTGTCTCTTCAAAGACGCTGCTGGGTCTGTTTGTTAAGCCACATGGGACCCGCTTACATCCTCCCAGTAAACAAAACCCGTTGCCAAAAATTGAGACAAACTCAGATTAGTCACTTACAAAGTGAAGAGTCTGCCAGATAAACTCAGAGAGGGGAATATTAGCAATTCTAGGAAAATTCCCAAACACACTTGTTTTTCTCATTTTATTTTAGATATATTGTTGGTACTACCTCAGAGGGCACCAGAACATAATTGGGTTTGGATAATTCTACATCTTATATTTGCCAGGCAGTTCCCAGTCATGTGTTGCCTCTTTTTAATTTGATTGATTCCGATGGGAAAAGACATGTATCTCTGCTTCTAATTTAAAGTTGTCCTGTCTGAACAAAACTATGCTCTTGAATGACAACGCAGTCCGCCATTTATTTTTCCCCTTTTCCTTAGCTGTGCTACTCCCTTTTATTCTATTGGCTTTTGAAAGCCAATAGAATAGACTCTCTTGAATAGAGTCTAATTCTATTGGCTTTCAAAAGCCAATAGGAATTGTCCAGGCTGTCTCTGCCCTGCTGAGCCCGCCGTTGACATTCAGTTAATTCAGTAGTGCCATACTTTTATTTATTCATTTTTATTTATTATTACATTTATATGCTGCCCATCTTACCGTCCAAAATGACTCTGGCAGCTTACAATACAGTACTTTATTAAATATGCAATATGCATTCATTAGATTCACACATTGCACTAAGCCACACTGTGTACATTTAGCATTCTGGATAAACCCAGCCATTGTAAACCACATCTTATGGCTTAGTATGTTGCACAAACTGCTTAGTATGTTGCACAAACTCAGTCACTTAAGGTTTAACAACAAAATATTTAAAAAAAATGTCAGGGCTTCCTGCAGATCAAGATCAGCATATCAGGACCAGAGCTGCATTTGGTCTCCCTCTTATTTCATTCCATTTTAAACTTAATTAAAATTAAACCTAGTTCATATGATCAGTTTGTTATGTATCTTAATAATTTTCCCTGTCATACTAACCATGACAATAAATTTAAAGCTCTCTGCGATCACATTGAAGGCTTTGTGAGTCACCTGTAACCTTGTGGTCTAAAGTTGTGCCTTGTGCAGACCAGGTCATTATGTTCTCCCTGTCTTTTTCCATGCAATACAATCATTTGCCCCTCTCAGACCTTTCATGATGTGTGTTTTCTCTGTTGTATGTGCTAACACTGGCTACTGCTGGCAATAATGAGGAAATTAATAATGTAGTAACATAGACTGAGGAATGAGAGGTGTGGTGGCCTGGTGGTGAAGATGCTCGCCCCCCCACTCAGAAGGTTGAGACTTCAGTCCTAGGTAGTGGCAGATGTTTCTCTCTGCCTAGAAAAAATATCTGCTGTGAACTCACTGTAGGCGTCAGGAAGGGCATCCAGCCAGTAAACCCTCAGCTCCGTTCAGCCATCCCGACTCTAGTGCAAAATAAGGGATTACAGCAGTGGTTCTCAACCTGTGGGTCGGGACCCCATTTGGGATCGAACGACCATTTCACGGGGGTCGCCAAACAATGCAGTCCGCCATTTATTTTTCCCCTTTTCCTTAGCTGGGCTACTCCCTTTTATTCTGTTGGCTTTTGAAAGCCAATAGAATAGACTCTCTTGAATAGAGTCTAATTCTATTGGCTTTCAAAAGCCAATAGGAATTGTCCAGGCTGTCTCTGCCCTGCTGAGCCCGCCAAAAGTCCCATTCTGCAAACGGTGCTGCACCAGTTGAGTAGTCCTCGACTTACAACCGGTTGAATAGTCCTCGACTTATGACCGGTTGGGGGTCGCGGCATTAAAAAGATTGAGAACCACTGGATTATAGAGTCATAAAGGAGTTTTTAATGTAGAATGAGGAGTGTATTAATGTTTTGTGTTCATCCACTGTCTCAGCACAAATCTGTTTCTCAGGCTTGTTCTGGGAAAAAAATGGAAGGAAGTAACACAATATCTGACAGCATCAAGTTCCTGACTGAAGGGCAAGATAGAAATCTAATAACTAAGCAATAACTGCCTTAACAACAGTGGTGCCTACATGGACCTGTTGGCTCCCTGGACAAACAAACCTAACTAACTAGTTCTCCATGATTAGCCAATCTTTGATTACAGAGATGGAACAAATTTTGATCCAGGAATGCTGCCTTTAGCAGCAGACAGGCATTGTTTATAGTAGAAAGAACTGAATATCCATGTCTAAATACTTTTTTAAAAATCAAACCTTGATCATTTTTTGCTGTTCTTTCCTGTCACTCACTTTTAAGAGTATGATTCCCAGCATGACTGAAGGTTGTAGTCCCTGATCAATATTTCCAGGAATCTTCTCCAGCCTTATCTGTAGATTAGGGATCCCCAACCCTGGTGCACAGCCCATTAGGAACCACATAAGCATTGAGTGAGCGTGCAAAACTCCATTTGTGAAAATGGCAGGTGAGCACACAAAACCATCCGTCTCCCCCATTGATCTGCAGAGCTGGAAAGATTGGGGGCCACTGCTGCAGATGATCTTACAGATTTTTGCATTCACATAGCAATGTCTTTACCACTACACTATCATTTCAGTTCTGATATGGAAAGGCATAGCACTTGAATATAAGTGAGGCTATGCAGCTTCTCCCTGTTGCAGTCCAATATATTTGGAATAAAGGTAGTCCTCAACAACCATTCATTTAGTGAATCTAGATTCCCCATTCACTTTGCTTGTCAAATGTTCGCCATGGGAACATTTCAATTGTCATATACCGTATATGCTGGCGTACAAGGCGACCCGGCGTATAAGACGACCCCCGTCTTTGTCACCGAGCCGCATTCCTAGAACGTCGTCGTATACGCCGGAAACTACCAGTATTTCCGGCATATAAGACGACCCCTGTCTTTGGCGCCGATTTTAGCGCTTGCAGAAGTCGCCTTATACGCTGGCATATACGATATATAGATTCACTTAACAACGTGTTACTAATTTAACAGTTGCAGTGATTCACTTAACAGTTATGGTAAGAAAGGTCGTAAAATGGGGCAAAATTCACTAAACAAGTGCTATGCTTAGCAATAGAAATTTGGGGCTCAATTGTTGTCGTAAGTCAAGGACTACCTTTATTCATATTTTATGTTGGTGCTTCCTGGGAACCTGCTCTTGGAGAAAAAAAGTGAAAAGTGAAATTTCTTGTACTATGACTCTTAGATCTTTAATTAACCTCAGTTATTCCAGCGAAGCTTATATTCGCTTATTCATTAAGCCTGACCTTCGCTAGGGAATTTATCTGAGGCTCGAGCAGGCCCAACTCCTGAATTCTTGCCTTGCACACGTGTTTTAATTTTTCAAATCTCCTTTTCTCTTTGCAGTCTCAGGTTTGAGTTTTGTTTTGTTTAACCCAGCTTTTACTCATGCCTGTTGTTTAAGTAGGTCATTTTTACCCCTTCTTTCCTTTGTTGTGTTGACTGACTGACCGAATTTGTATCTTCAGCTGCACATTCCTTCCCCAAGGTATTTGATACTCAACTGGAACCATCTGTCATAATACTGGTCTTAGCTGGACTCAGCAGGCCTATTCCACCCATCTCTGACTGCTTATGCTCACAGTGTCTCTGTCTTTGATACTCCAGCTGACTCATTCCCCTTTCAATAAGTGTCATCCTCTGATAATATTCTCACTGTCCTTGCAGATTAGACTGGACTGATGGTGATATACAAGGAGCTTTCCTCTGTGGAAATTAAGTCAGTTTTGTCCAGTTCTCAGCGGATCAGGCTGTTGACATCTCGTAAAAGTGAACTCTGATTTATTAACTTAGTTAATAAAGGCTGGATACATGTGTATGCAAGTTGTCAAAGTGATTTATCGGTAGACAGTGTTTACCATTGATTGGTTTCAGTATTGTGATAGGATGGTGAGTTTTTAAAATGTGCATAAAGACCTTCTCTGGCGAAGGTGAACTGACTAAAAGTACAGGTAAGTGCTCTGGCCAGGTACAGATACTACTGTTTTAGATCTGCCAGCTATTTCTTTGGGATGTACTCTTCCTGCAGAACTGATAGAACTGATAAATGCTGATGTGGGATGTGGGAAGTTCTAAAGTAAAAAAACAAAAAACAGCATCCTTATGGCCAGAGGTTCAGAACTAGATCCCTCTTAAAAATCTGGTGGTGCTAATGGAATTTTAAGGGGCCTTGTGTATGCCCCTAGTACAGGTAGCCCTTGACATATGATCAAAATTGAACCCAAAAGTTCTGTTGCTAAACAAGACAGTTGTTACGTGAGTTTTGCCCCGTTTTACAATCTTTCTTACTGTAGTGACACCATGGTTAAGGGAATCCGGTTCCCCATTGACTTTGGCAGAAGATCACAAAAGGCGATCACATGACCCCAGGATACTGCAACCATCATAAATACTGTGCTACCCCGAAAATAAGACCTGGTCTTATTTTTATTTATTTTTTTGCCTCCAAAAGAGGCACCAGGTCTTTTTTTCGGGGGGGGGGTGCCTTTTCCACTCACCTCGTGGCAGCGGCACCAACAGCCCCACCCAGCTGGCCTATTTCTTCTGGGGCCAAAGGAGCAGCTTCATTCTGCAGCTGAGAATGGAGCTCCGGCCTGCATTTCGCAGTCTGAGGCCTTTCCTGAAGGTCTCTGCAGCCGAGAACCGAGCTATCGAATCCATAGCTTGGTTCTTAGCTGCAGAGGGCTTCTTGAAAGGCCTCTGATTGCGAAATGCAGGCCGTAACTCCATTCTCAGTTGCAGAATGAAGCTGCTCCCTTGACTGCAGAAGAAGTGGGTTGGTGAGGCAAGTGTTAATCCATGGGAGGCCTGGCTGCAATAGTAAGCTCCACCCCCTCCCCACCTCCGCCCCAGCTTAATTTTAGGTGTGCGCCTCGCCCCCAAACCAGGGCTTATTTTAGGGGGAGGGCTTATATTTGACCCACTCCAAAAATCAAGCTAGGGTTTATTTTCGGGGTAGGCCTTACTTTCGGGCCAACGTGTTACTAGCCAGTTGCCAAGTGTCTGAATTTTGATCATGTGACCGTGGGGATACTACAATGGTATAAGCCACTTTTTTCAATGCTGTTCTAATTTCAAACAGTCACTAAACGAATATAAAGGTATTCTTAAAAATGTCACTATCTCTTGGGCACGGCTCCAAGCTACAGATTACACTCTGAACCTTTTTTCTGTCCTTCCTCAAAAATGCAAGAGACTACCAGCAGGTACTTATCGTACTGATAAGTCTGTTGGCCACTGCACTGGTTTCTTGATGCTTTCCTCATAGCAATTCAGGAAAGTGGGTTGTCAGTCCTTGGATCTTGGCTCCAAATTCATTGTTATATTCTATTCATGTAACAGGCCTTCATAATTACACAGAATAAACTTGAATCCCTATCTGCAAATCATATGCCAACTTAGCTTTAAAACAACAGTGCTTTCCACCTCCAACTAAACAAATTTATAAATACAGTGGTTGAGACAGTACTATGGGGTCTTTAGTCTTCTCTGAGCTTGGTCCTTTTTTTGCAGGCATTTTATTATTGGATTTGTAGCTTGGGGTCCTTGGTGCCCTCTGAGTTTGGCGGTTTTTCTTATAGATGTTTCATTACCAAACTAGGTAACCTCATCAGCCCGATGAGGTTACCTAGTTTAGTAATGTAACATCTGCAATAACCAAACTCAGAGAGCAGCAAGGACCCCTCATTTTAATCTTGAGCTACAAATATTCTCTTCTATTGGTATTTACAGTACTAGTACAATTAGTACTAGTAGAATTAATACTAGTGCAATTATCAGTAAGGTTCTAATATTTATTGATGGTTTACAAATAAATAACAAACCTATTAATAATGCAATCATCTTTTGGAAGGAGCACCTTGATCTTCTTCCCCTGAATGATTTATTTTAAAACTTAAATCCAGTGGCTCAGATTAGGCACTCTGCTTAACTTGCATTGACTATGCTTTGTTCAGTAAGTTGCAATGACTGGGTTCACACGTGCTATATCATAAGCTGTTGTGTATGCTAAAGTAGACAAATATTGTTTAGAGTGCTGTAAATTAAGCTATTAGGAATTTAAATGACTTGCACATTTAAAAAATAGGGGAAAGAAGCAAGATTTGCATTATGTAACAATTAAATGGGACATTAACATCATAGGAATCTATTTTTTTAAAATACGTTTGCATTTTCTCAAGATTATGTCCATGAATAAGTGGCTATATATTGGTTAAAGGGTTAGACTAGGACTGTGGAGATCCATAATTATGTCTCCCCTCAACCATTTAAGCTCACTGGGTGAATTTAGCCCATTCATGCTCTTTTAGTCTAACCTATCTCACAAAGTTGCTCTGGCCAATGCTTCTGTTTTCTCTGATTCCCCCCCCCTTAAATAATTATACATGGAAAGATAATTTGAATAGATGCAAACATAGATAGATCTTTGATGACTTTGAAGATTAACTGCACCTTGGCACGTATTGTTTACCTGGTGAATTAAACACTTTTTATAACTTCTGAGCATGGTCTTTCTTTTTTCCTTTCCTGTCTAGTGCTTTTTCCCCATCTTGAATGTATTCATTATTTTTGGCAGTTTCTGTCAGAAAGGGACGTATGTGAATGTGTATGAATATTTGTGTTTTTCTGTGAGAGTGATTAGTAAGTGAAAGAATTAACTTTTAAGTGGCTATATTTTGAAAGCAATTAATTACTAGAAATTTGTGTGTGTGTGTGTGTGTGTCTATCTCTATCTATCTATCTATCTATCTATTTAATATATGTATATGTATGGTTTGGGTATATGGTTATATTACACACATTTCCTGGGCAATGAGTGGGTGAAAAACAAATCTTCAGAACTGGTATTAGTAGTGTTAAGAAACCAACAGGATCCCAAGCAGGCAATGCAAAACATGGTGCTTTGTGTTTATGGGGTTTTTAATTTTTTTTAAGAATTTAAGAATCATCTTAAATTCAGAGTCACATTTTAAATAAAGCAAATAAACAGCATGTTATACCTCTACCTGCAAGCTTGCATGTTTGTTTTTCTTAATATCTCCTTCTAATTTTCTTTTCTGCAGAATTTTGGGAATGTTGCAGTTGATCTGAAATATCCACAGTGCCTCTGAAGAAAAGAACACTCAGGGAATGTTTACAGCTGGATATTTTTAATGTTCATGAGATGTCTCCTAGAACTGCTCTCCTGATGCCATGGATATTCTGCTTCTTAAAGCACTGGTGTTGGTCTTGGTCAGTTGTTTTACTGGGCTTCTTTACTACCAGCCCAGCCTTACTTTTAAGTGGGAAAGAGCAGTTTTCAAAAAACCAAATTTCATAGTAATTTTGGCAGACGATATTGGATGGGGAGATTTTGGAGCCAACTGGGACCTAAAAAAAGGCACACCTAATTTGGATAAGATAGCCCAGGAAGGAATGAGGTGAGTTTTAAATGATTCTCTAGCATTCACATTTATTTACCACATATTTCGAGGGTGTAGACGATTGTTTAAATGCTACCGGATTATAGGACTGTGCCTATACTTGTGTATTTTTGCTTGCTTATTGATTTATCACATTTATATTGTGCACAATCAAAAGCATACTTTCAATAGCTTATACCATATGACAAAATGAGAGGGTAACGATAAACATGGAAGATTCATAAAATTAAAATTAAAAAATAACAGAAACGTTCCAAGCAGTATGTTGTATCAGTCTCCTGTGAAAAAACTGGTTTTAGCAATCTCCAGAAAGCAACTAGAGTTGGGTCCAAACACACTTCCCGTAGGAGGTCATTCCAGAGAGCCAACCCAATGATGGGAAAAAATGGCTCTGGGCTCCACAACCTCCCCAAAATGGCGGAAAACTCATTGCTTCTTGTGGCATGATTGAAATGGTTGGGCCAATTCCAATAGAAAGATGTGGTCTTGAAGGATCTTTGGAGATAATAATTTCAGGGTTATTTTCAATAAACTTGGTTTATTTATGTCTGAAATTTATATCCTGCCAAACTACAAAAGAATGATATATTAGAATGATATAAAAGTAAAATAGAAAGAATTAAATAAGAAAACATAAATGCCAGAGCGCAATAAGCATTCATTTCTTAGCCACTGAGTATCCAAAAACAAGCCCCGAATACTCACAGCATTAATCCCACTTTGCAGAAAGACACATCATATGGTCAGCCCACCCAAAACTTTGTAAAACAGCCAGATAATTGCTTTCAAATGCAAATGGGAGATAAATTAATTTCATAAATATAGGACCTTGAGGGACTCTGGTGAAGGTTGATTACAAATAGATCGTTACTCATTTGGATTACTGCAGAGCTTGAAAGTCCCTTTGAAGAGGAGTGAGAAATAGCAACTCCAGAATGTGGAGGCTATACAGCTGGCAGATCAGTCCAGCTGTTGCCAAGGGCGACACCAACTTTAAGAACATTATATTGCTTCTGATAAAGTCTACATGGCATAGTATGATACATCTGGCACCATCTCAGCAACATTGACTGGGCTAATCTGGTTCAGACAGTTAGAGAGGAATGTCTAGAACCTTTCCCTCTCAGTGAAAAGTGCATTGGAAGTAGGCCAGATGGCACGTTCCCATAGTTAAGAGTATATTTATTTATTCCATCCTATAAGATGGTTGAAACTATTATACTACCAAGGCCACACTCATGGTTGGCATTCATCCATATTTTTATTTTATTTTTCTTTACTCTTTTTTCCTTATTTATTTTTGTTTTATTTTTCATCATCCACGGTCTTAATTAATGGAGGAATATCAACAAATATGATAAAAATGAAATTGTATGCATATTCATTAATTTGGGTTAGTTTATTCTTTTGTCCTGGCTTTGCCCTTTTCTGGTAAGTATCCTTGAGGGAGATGGATGGTCTAGAAATATGAAATATAAATAAAGTAAATATCCACAATAGATGTACACACAACTTATTGGCAGTGAGATGGAACCTTTCATGATTGATTTCATCAGGCATCCCTAAGTTGACCTAATGCAGAAGGAAGGCATTGTATAGATTTTTCATCTGGGTTTACACATTTTTTTTCATTGATACCTACTTTTTTTTCTCACTGTTTACTCAATTTTTTGTTGTGTGGAATGATGGTAAAACTTCAAGGTCATATTCCTTTGGGGTATGGTTGGTTGTTATTATCATTATCATCATAGTTGTCATCATTATTATCTAAGCTTGTATGCTGCCCATACCTCAACATTTCTGGGTGACTTATGCAGTAGAATTTGAAAGGGTTAAAAAGCAATTTCCAATATTTTACTGGCACATTTCCCCCCCCCCAATGCTCAATCTTTAAAACTGTAAGTTGTTTAATAACTTGCATTTCTCTAAACGTGAGAGGCAATTAGTTTGAACCATTTCTTTTACAGCTACAAATGCTAATTGTGTGACGTAATTTAATATAAAGATGCCTCCTTTTAGCGAATAGTTGTTTTGTAGGATGTACCAAGAATTTATTGCTCCTGTAAAGACGTCAGTTCTGGCTATTAAAACCTCCTCAGGCAAATGGTCAAACAAGGAGGTGAGATAGCACTAGTGATTGAGACTTCTGTTTGCTTAGTGTACACATGTTTATCTTGTGTCATCTGTCTTGAACATATTTGCTTCATACCATTTTGGCACGTACACAAATCTTAGAGAGCAGCTGGTCATCCTTCTTTCTACTAGTTGTAGCTCATTTTTCTTTAATATATAGGCCAACCATGTGTTTGATTTTTCTCTTGTTTTTTCAGAATAGTAATAGCTCTTGGACTAATATACCAATAGTGCTTTACACTATTGGTATATTAGTCCAAGAGCTATTACTATTCTGAAAAAACAAGAGAAAAATCAAACACATGGTTGGCCTATATATTACAGCCATCTCTAAGCAGTTTACAGAGTCAGCATGTGGCCCCCAACAATCTGGGTCCTCATTTTACCGACCTCGGAAGGATGGAAGGCTGAGTCAACCTTGAACTCCAGACTATGGATTGAACTCCAGACTATGGGCACAGTTAATCTGCAATATTGCATTCTAACCACTGTACCATTATGGCTCTTGTTTTTGCAGAACCATATGAGAGCAGTATATATGTTGACACATGAGTTCTTCCCCCTCTTGCATTATTTTGTTTATTTTTCTATTTTGATTGGTCATAGAACTGCAGTGTAGAATCCAAATAGCCTATTTCAGTTCTGTACAACATTTCAAACACATGGTAATCTTTCCAGACTTGCAGACCACACCAAGCTATATCGATAGAAGGGAACATTTGTAGCTCAGGATTGAACTGTGAGGTCCTTGGTGCTCTCTCAGCTTGGTTGTTTTCTTGCAGACATTTCATTACCAAACTAGGTAATATCATCAGTGCTAATAGAGAGTGAGGTTTCTCTCATTTTATACACTTGCCCTGTCAGTGTTGACTAGAGTAGTCTTGATGGTTTTTTGATTGGGCTGTTTTTTACTGTTGGTTTATTTGGTAGTTCCTTAATTGAGGTATTGTTTGCTTCTTGATTGTTGGTCCCATGTTAATCTTGATGTTAACCTCTACAATTAATCCACATTCGTGGCAGGAGGATTTCAATTCCTACATGATTATTTCACTCATCTCAGTTTCTCTCTCCTCCCCTGTTTACTTTCCTTAACCTGGTCAACTCTGGTATGGAGAAGAGAATACATATACATTAGGCATTATAGGAATAAAGCTGATGAATTGGAACGGCTGGTTTCCACCCCAGACAGAACTGTTATGTCAACATTGATCTCATGCCTTCCAATCCTTGTTTCCACCCCAGACAGACTTGTTATATCAACATTGATCCAATAGCTTTCAATCTCAAGTTTGTGAAAAAAGTAAATGCAGAAAACACTGGACTTAACAAATGCCCCAATTATAAAGTAATAGTTGAACTAGGGAATTCTGAGCTCACTGCTACATTCTTATTAGTATAGCATATAAATCTGTTGATTACAGATTCCCTCACAATCTCCCATCACGCAATAATCCATCCAAGGCATCATGCAAATCCATCCAAATCATTGTATTGATTTCTTTCCTGTTGCATTTATTTTTCAAGTTTTTCACTTGCAACAAATTAGAGCCAATTTTTCTCATTAATAGTTTCAGCTTTATTTTATGCACAACAGGAGTTTTAAAATATGTCCAGGATAAATGAGTTGTGCAATCCACTCAATAGGATTCTGCTGATAAGTGCAAAGAGAATATAAATGCTAGAGTCATCTCTTATAAAGATTTAAAATTGTCACGTTGTTATGAATTATTTCAGTCAAATACGATGGCTAAGTTGTAACGTAGATAGTTTTATCTGGAGAATGTACACTGTGAGATATAGTTTGTTTAGTGGTAAAGACACTAGGCTAGAAACCAGGAGACTACTGTGAGTTCTAGCCCTATTGAGGCACCAGCTGGGTAAAGCTGAGCCAATCACTCTTTCTCAGCCCTAAAAAAAGAAAGAAGGCGGTGGCAATGGCAAGCTCCCTCCAAAAATATCAAGAAAATTAATGTACTTAGGATAATAAAGCCCTTTGTGGCATGGGACCAAGCTATCTGAGTCATCTCCTTTCCCAGGTTATTTCAGCCCACACCATTAGATCTAGCAGAGAAGGCATTCTGTAGGTACCATCAGCTAAGGGTCTATATTTGGTGGGTAGTAGGAGATGTGCCTTCTCTGTCGTGATACCTCTCTTGTGGAACATTCTCCCCCCCACCCCATGTATGGACTTGTCCAGGCAGTCACCAGAATTTTAGGAAAGCCAGTTTGGTATAGTAGTTAAAGATACTGGACTAGAAACCAGCAGATTCTGAGTTCTAATTCTACTAACCAGCTGAGTGATTTACAACTGAGTGATTTGAGGCTAATTGTTCTCTTTTACTCCTGGGAAGAAAGCAATGGCAAACACTTCTGGAAAAGAGTCATAACATAGTTGAAGCCCCCTCCCCCCCAATATAGTATTTGAGTACACCGAGTTATAATTAGCTTAATCATCTGTGCCAAGCAAACTCTTCTTATAAATCCAGGACATGAGAATGTAAATCAACTTTCTTCAGACTTATTTCTTCAACTATTTTGGGGTGCAGCTGTGAATACTTCTTTCAATAACTGCTCATGTTGATCTGTAGCTAATGTAGGCTGAAGTTCAAAATTTGGTAGGGTATGGACTGGAAAAGATTGTTGTAGGCAGAATTGTTAGCATAGCTAATTAATATTATGAATTTTTTGCTCCATTTTTTTACGGTCAAAGCTACTTTTAAAAAAAAGCCCATTCACATGATAAAAGGTTTTTTCTATATTTGTCTCCTTAATCCTGCATGAAAAAAAAATAGACTATATTGTGATCTCTTGAGATTTTAAAATTTTGAGTTAACTGACATTTTCCTCTTTGTAGTGAATTGTTGATGTAGAGGATAACCTTCATCTTGGAAAAAAAGTCGGATGACTCGCCCATTATATGAGCCCATTGTCAAGAATGTTTGTCCTGTGCTTTGAACCTTCAGGCCTTTGATGTCACTAGATGGAATAAATTACCCGTTAACTACATTAATAACCACATCTCCATTTCTAAGTTTCCATAGCCCAAAAACTTAATTTGGACATTCTACGCCCCAAAGTCTGTAATGGGAGATATTTCAAAAATAAATCAATCACATCAATTGCATGAAGCAGTGCTTTTGAAAAATGAATTTTTAGTAAGATTTGGATACTGCCAGTCTGACTGAAAATGCCATCTCATTGGCAGATTTATCCCCTAGGAAGAACACAGCATTGATTTTTCCTTGGGCGTCCCATGAACATTAGCAGCCTTGAGAAGCCGAGTTGGCAAACATGCCATATATCCCACATTTGCACTAATTCTGAAGGAATGATTTTTGTCTGTGTACATTTGAACATTCCGGGCACTTTCCCACTTCTAAAGGCTGATTTAGAATTGCCCTCAACTGTCCATAGCCATCACTGCATACCTATGCTGCAAAGCAATTGATGGGTAAGTGGAGGCTGCAGAAGGCTGCAGATGGGCTGACATAAACACCTCCCGAATCTTAACTGTGTATTGTGCGGAGATGTGCACCCTGCATGCTGGTTGGTTCTGACTTTCTACTGGAGGTGGGGGAAGGCAAAACGTATTCACCAGGAAATATTAAAATTTGCTGACTTGTAAAAAGAACACCTATGCAACCATCCCCCAACAACAGATGTGTACATTCCATGCAGTCCAATGCAGCAGAAGTCTACTCCAGCCTTAAGACAATATATGATATAAATATTGCAAGCTTAAATCAATAAAAAATTCATGAAAGAAATAACAATGCTCCAGATCCATAGATGCAAAAGTGCACAGTGTGCATGACAATAAGGTTGAAAAAAGGAAGCACATATTTCAGCATCAAACCACATTAACCAATTAACCTCCATCAGCCTGGCCTACAGTAATCTGCTCTAAGAAATAAAAAAAAATAACTACACTTAGATATCTTGCCATAAACCCACTCAAGAATATTTTGTTTCAAAATAAAAGGAGCATAATAAATGAAAAATAATAGGAATCTTTTCCTCCTTTTTCTAGATTTGTAGATTTCCATTCAGCTGCATCTACCTGTTCCCCATCACGTGCTTCTCTGCTTACAGGACGTCTCGGCCTTCGTAATGGCGTCACCCATAATTTTGCTGTGACTTCAGTGGCAGGCCTTCCATTGAATGAGACAATATTGGCAGAAGTTCTGAAAGAAGCTGGCTACCTCACTGCTATGATAGGTAATTTAACCGAGCCCTGAAAGAAAACTTAAAATTGATCCCATTTATAAGCTGTATAAATGCTGGTCTATGATCAAAATGAAGATTTGATTGATTACTGGAAAAGAGATACCAGTAAATTATTTCAGTTGGAAATGTGCATAGAAGGCCAGAGTTTCCTCAGGTAATTTGGTAATATTTGTCATACCTTTGCAGCAGAAATCATCTTGGATCATGAATCTAGGGAAGTGCATGTATTTTTTTTTTTTTTTTTACATCATCTAGGTCTAATTCTCAAAGAAGCATCAGCTCCTTGATTGCAAAATGTATCCCAAGGTATTCTGGCTTGGCATGAATATGCCCAAAGACAGTTTCACTGAGATAGCCAGGAAACCCAGCAGCATTGCTAAATTCCTTGCATGGTGCATTTTGTCTGTGATAGGACAATTCCTATAGATTGTCTTCCAATTATAATTTGTTATCATTGTGTCAGAAATCTTTGTATTTGGCAGTTTGCCCTTAAGGTTTCCTCCAGGATCTTAGTAAAGTTCCTCTCCCAATAAATTTAAGGTTTTTAAGGATTTTCTGCTTTATCTTTGGATTCTGTTGCTGGTTTATATTGCCCTTTTAATTATGTGTTAGTTTACATATTGTTGTAAGCTATTTGACAATATTTACAAAGGAAGATGGGGTGTCTTTCTCATGCTATATGCAAACTGGTCTTAAGGCCCACCTTTATTGCATAAGCATTTGATATCCTGGAAAATCACCGCATTCAGAATATTTGGTTGCTGAGAGAAAGATGCACTTTCCCTAGGATGCAAATTGGTGAGGTAATTTAAGATCTAATAAAAGTGAATCATTTGTAGGTCTGGGTTTTATGCTGAGAATGGGGTTGTTTTTCTTCTGTTTTTATGATAGGAAATATCATATTTCCTATGGATATTTTCTGATTGGGATTCCTTAGATCACATTTCTTATGCAATTTTATCTATTTATATTGCCTTTATTGCTTTTACAAAGTGGCAGATATATCCAACACACTTTTCTCTTTGTATTTTCCCCACAACTACAACCCCATGAGGTGGGTTGGGCTGAGAAAAAAAGACTGTCCCAAAGTCATCCAAGCTGGCTTTCATGACTAAGATGGGACTTGAATTCCTGCTTTCTAACCTGTTGCCTTAACCATTAGACTAAGCTGGCTTTCTTATTACAAATGTTATCCTAAAACAAAAAAATAGTCTTGTTTTTTTTTTAATATTAACTAGATTCAATGATTTTGATGAGTCAGGATAATATGGTTTGTGAATTTTGGTCCTGTCTTCATTTTCTCAACTAATTGCCCAGAGCTAAAGTAGCCAATATTAAATATTTTCCACACTCACTATTTTGCATTGACGCATTTTAGGTGCTCATACTTTTTTGTTCCACATCACTTCTTTATAGGGAAATGGCACTTGGGACATCATGGCTCTTTCCATCCCATCTTTCGTGGTAAGACGTTTATCTATTTCCTCCTGCTAAAATACCAAGGTTGTTCTAGTTGAAATTGCAATTTTATAAAAGTAAATGCTTTGATACACATACCTTCTACATAGATAACTAGGATATTCTGGATAGAAAGCAGGATATGCAAGAATGTAGCTTTTCCTTATCCTGCTAGTTTTTGTAAGGAGGAGAATAGACTTGCTTTTATAGAAAGAAGTATTTTAATCTTACATAAGGTCCATGACCAAAACAAAACAAATATATAGATATATAGACATGTATATTTTTAATCCTGTAAACTCCAAACAAGCTCTTAGTTTTGATCAGCATTATAAATTTCATCCAAAATTATTCTTTGACTGCAGATATATTAAATGGGTTCACATTATGCTAGCTATGATTTGCCTAACCATCATTTATGAAATAAATAAATCTTAGTTTACTAGGTTCATACAGCAGGCTTAGCTATAAATCTAGTCTGCACCGGATAATCTTTTGGTAGGTTTGATTCTATAGTGGTTTGAGTGACAATGGAAAAATAAGTGGAGTCATCTTATACATGTGATTCTTTTTTAGAAATAGTTGGGTTTTTTTCCTTTTTTTAAATTGTATTGAATCTATTTGAGGACTTACAGTACAGTTTTTGTGTATTTCCTTCCTTATATTAGCAAAAAGTTGCCACCAATGGCAATTTAAGTCAGGACAAAAATGTGTATTGGGCTCTACTTGGAGCCCTAGGCTAACAGATTGCTCAACTGTTGTCTACAAGCAACTGATGGCTGGCAACACACAGTGTACTAAACTAAAATGAAATAGGTTACTTAATACAATGTGTTAAGTGGTTTTATCTTTCTCAGTCTAGTAGCTTTTTTAAAATTCCACATTTTGTAAATTATTGGGAGGGGGGGAAAGATAAAAGAGAGAGATAATCTGTATACTACTAAAACTTTCCTACTGGTTGTCTGCTTGTAACCTTTAATTAGCCCAAATGGTGCATCATAGTGCAAACATTTTTCAATCAAGGTATCTTAAATCTGCTACGTTAAAGAATCTGTACAGAATCTATGAACCAATTTACTCCTATGTAATTGAAATTTGAAAAAACTTCACGCCAGTTGTATTTGCAAAGTTGTAGCCATAGCAACAATGCTAAAATCACATGACTGTGATTTCTAACACTCCCTGTCAGCTTCCCACAAGTAAAGTGAATGGGGAAACCAACAGGAAGTCAGAAGTTGTTCCCGTTCCCACTGCTTTTTTTTTTTTGCCTGCCTTTGGACTTTCTGTTTCTCTGTTTAGATAACGAAATATCTCTGAAATATTGACCCAGTGGGTCATGGATTGTCTAGTGTAAAATACATTTGTCTAGTACACGTTCTGTTGAGAGAAAAGTTCCCTGAGGATGAGCTCCAGCACAAATCCAAAAGCTCAGAAGACTAAATCTCTGGTGCTGGTGATCAACCCAGATTGGATCCTGCAACATTATCCTGGGTCACACATATTTGCCTTTACTTGTTCAGTGCAATTGTAAGAAATTCAATAATGACCCAATGGGTCATGGGTTGTCTAGTACATAGTACAGTACCATGTTTCCCTGAAAGTAAGGCCTACCCCGAAAACAAGCCCTAGCTTGATTTTTTTGGGGTGGGCCTAATATAAGCACTACCCCAAAAATAAGCCCTAGTTTAGGGATGAGGCACACACCTAAAAATCAAGCTAGGGTGGTGGTCAGGGTGAGGCCTGGCTACCTTGCAGCCAGGCCTCTCCTCACCAGTTCACTTCTTCTGCAGCATCCCCAGGCCTGTATTTTTGAGTCACAGGCCTTTCCGGAAGGCCTCTGCAGCCAAGAACCGAGCTATGGATTGAAGCCATAGCTTGGAATTCAGCTGCCTAGGCCTTCCAGAAAGGCCTGACTGCACAATGCAGGCTGAAATGCAGCTGCAGAATGAAGCTGCTCCTTCGGCTCCAGAAGAAGTGGACCTGCTGGGTGGGGTTGTTGGTGCTAGAGGTGAGTAAGATATCCCCCGAAAATAAGACTGGTGCCTCTTTTGGAGGCAAAAAAAAAAAAGACCTGTTCTTATTTTCGGTAATAACAGAGGTATGGTGTAGTAGTTAGAATGCAGTATTGCAGGCTAATTCTGCCAACTTCCAGCAGTTTTTACCGATTCAAGGTTGACTCAGCCTTCCATCCTTCTGAGGTCGGTAAAATGAGGACCCAGATTGTTGGGGACAATATGCTGACTCTGTATACAAACTGCTTAGAGAGGGCTGTAAAGAACTGTGAAGTGGGATATAAGTTTAAGTGTTGTTGATAATACTGTGTCTTTTCTGTCAGTAATGATCCTAAACCTGTTTACAACTCTTAAATAACTCTAATAAAACCATGAGATCATAGTCAGTGCTTGAATGTTGACATATATCCTGCTGACACCTTGCAGTTGGATTGCCACGGATGTGTATTTCATTTCAGACAAAACTGACCCTTTTATTGAGATAACCAGGCACATCTTCATCTTGTGTCTTTTTGTTTCTAGGTTTTGATTTTTATTTTGGGATACCATATAGTCCTGATATGGGCTGTACTGACACTCCAGGTTATAACCTCCCTCCCTGCCCAGCTTGTCCCAGATGCTCCACAACAGTCGGGTATGTTTATTTATTGCGTATTGAATTTGTTTGAATTTGTATCCCAGCATGATGAGGTAACTCTTGGCAGCTCACAGAGTATCATGAAAACATCAAAACTTTCATAGTATGTTTGAAATTTCAACTCAGTCACTAAGTCAGAACATCAAAAAATCCATGCACAATGAAAAGATCATCCCAAACTAAAAATAAAAATAATAAAAAGATATTACAATGTGTACCATAAGTGGAACACCTTTCAAACTATTTCCATATTTTACATCTTCCTGAAAACTCTCAAGGTGTGGACTGGCCTGAATTCCATGAAATAGTTCCACTGGTACTACTACTAAGAAGCAGGACCTTCTAACTTTGTTTTCCCTCATTCTGTGGAAGTATAGGTCTACACAAAGTTTTCTCCTAAACCAGCAGTCCCCAATCTTTGTAACTTGGTGGCTCAGTGCAGGGGGGGGGCATGTAAATGGAAGGCAGATGCATGCATGCACAGCTCCATTTGCTTGAGCAGTGCACATATGCCCTCCACACACACAAATGAAGTTTTGCTCACAAGCAGAGGGTACTTGTGCTCACGTGTGAAGTTCCACTTGCTCAAACAGAGGGCATTTGCACGGATGAAGCTTTGCGTGCCGGTGCAAGTGCCTTCCACTCATACAAGTGGAGCTTCACTCACACGCTTGCCGATTTCTTCCACGATCCAGTTTTGAACAGGCCGTAGCCCGGAGGTTAGGGATCCCTGCCCTAAACAATCTAGAGATAGTCCTCATTTAGCAATCACAATTGAGAGTAGCAACTCCATTGTTAAGCAAAACAGTTCCTAAGTGGGAAATAATTTTTATTTACTTATTTATCAAATTTATTGGCTGTTCACCATATCACAGGGTAATTCTGGGCGGTCTATAAGCTCATGTGACTGTGTTTTCCTTTCCCCCACTCCCCTTCCCTCTAAATGTTCAACATGGTGTTGCGATAATTAGAAGAAGGGAATTAATATTTATATTTACGTTCACTAGAAAGGAAGGGACTACAAGAAAGTAGCAGGCATAGAATGGGAAATACAAATTGAAAGGAATGCAATGACCCCAGCAAACAGCTGATGTATTCCCCATTGTGGGTTTGCATTGTCTCTTGTAGTCCCTTCTTCTCCAATCTCCAAAGAGGGAAAAAAGAAAAAAAAAAGTGTAACAGGGATGCTGTGAAGGCATTGATTGTAAAATTATTTTTCAACACTATTGTAACTTTGAATAGTTGCTGAACAGGACAGTTGGTAAGCGAGATCGACCAGTGGTAGGTTGGCTTCATTTAAGTTGGAGGAGGTGGTCCTGCACCTTCCAAGTCCCAAGCTATGTTAAGCCTAATGGTCCTTTCAGAGCAGTTTGTGGTAGTTTGAAACTTTGTCACTTTTGTTCCTCCCTATCTTTTTTCAGTTTGGATAGAGGCTGTCTCATTGCTCTGACAAGTAATTTAATCTAGCCCAGAGAGCAAATGTAACCTTGGCTCTCTTTTTTAGCTGATTTTGTTGTGCAAAGGCTATGGAACTACCAAAATAAATAATATTTTTAGAGCCCACTCTTGTATTAATCTCTCATTCCATACTCAAGATCTTTTGATTTTTTTTCCAGTAACCATCAGACAAACTGCTATCCTGAAATCGCACTTCCTCTTTTTGAAAACCTTACAATTGTCCAACAGCCTGTGAACTTAACTGCCTTAGCTACAAAGTATACAGAAAAAATTATTCATTTCATTCACTATGCCAGGTAAGAAAATCTCCATGAACATTGACCTTACTTATGTAAAATAGTAATGACTTGGCATTGTACAAATTACCTCGGTCCTTTTGTCTCATAAAGCTCCAAGGAAAAGATTGAACATATTACCTTCCATTCTAAAATCCTCGCTAAACAATCCTAAACTGGGACCAGAGTTTCCATTGCTAAATGAAGCAGTCGTTAGGCAAACCTTCAGATCACTACTCTACTTAGCAATGGCAGTTCCAGTACTCCCAGTCCAACTGCAGCTGGTCTGGGATCCATGTGCTGGGCAGGGGTGCGGTGTTCAAATGCATGCGGCAAAGGCAGTAGCGGGCAGAGCCACATCAGTCAAAGGGAATTTGCTGGGCTCAGCTAAGTAATCGAAGAGGCAATCGAATAGGGCGGTATCGCTGAGCAAGGGCAAGAGAGGAGACGTTGGCTGTCTGGATGAAGGTGGAGGCTGTTCAGGGTTGTTGCAGAAGAGGCGGAAGTAGAGGGACAAGGGGTTCCCATAGGTCCGTGCTCTGCTGCTTGCATTGGAAGCATACCTGGAGACTTTGGGAACTATTAAATGATTAAGGTCATTTTGAGGGAGGGGAAACTTGACAAAGAATGTTATGATAATCTGCTAAAGTTCCCAGTGAAAAATAAGTCTGTTACATCTGTTCAGTTGGAAGTGTTAACTTCTGTAGAGCTGATCGCAGAACCTTTAGTTAAGAGTGAGGTCCCTGCCCAGTTTTTATGACATAACAAACCAGATGCAGGTGGATATGTCATCCTAAGAAACGTTTCATTCTACCTGTCTCTTACCAGTTATTCTGTGCAATGTCTGAGAGCATTAGAGATTCTGTGCAGGATCTTGAAAACTTGTAACAGCCAATCAATCAGTCTTACCGTTTTATATATCAGCATTTCCTCCCTTGAAAACATAACAGAGCTGGCACAGTAGAAACATTTTTTTTTAGCAGCTCAGGGATCAATTACTGTATTAGATACTTGGTAAAAGGTGCAGCCATAGCTGCTGAGGGGAAGGGAAACATTTATAAAAAGCTTTGAGCGCTGGGGAAAGTGATGATAATCAAAATGTGCCAAATAAATACCTTCCAAGTACACCAAGAAGGGGGAAACGGTGGAAGAACACTAGTTTTATTGTGGTTCCTGATCCCATAGTCTTACTAGCTGCATTTTCCCGCAAGCAAAAACAATTCAGATCTTTTAAATGATTGCTGTAAAAAAGTAACGATAAAGATCGCTACAGCTCAACCAAAGCAAAATGAACTGACTGGGATAGAAATCATGTGTCTATTTATTTAGAGACTGTTGATAAATAAGGATGACAAAAGCATCTTTTACAGTACTAAAAATAATTGATTGGAAATCATGTCCTATTTTTAAGATGCAATGCCCAGAATTAGGTACAGCATGTGAGATGGATCTGAACTTTGCAAATTATTGTGCAACTATTACATGTGATTTACTTGGAAAGTTGCAACTACAATATATTATTGATCCATATTTAGATAGTAATAATCTAAATCTTATTCATGTGTACTATTTGATTTCTTTTTCTTAATTAAGTTTATTTATTTCAACTAAGTTTCCACCTGCTGCTTCTAGTTCACTTTTTTAACCTGTAAAGATCCCTTTGATTATTATTCTATTTTCTCTTCCATCTTGATAACATTCCATGGATCCAATCATTCAGATCATTAATAAAAATATTAAATTGCTTGTTTTGTTCTTCTGTAGTGCACATTTGCCATATTTATGAAGAATTGGTGTACTAATTTTTTCCCCTTTAAACATATCTGAAGAAATCTTTTTATTGTTCTGAGCAACCTGGATTATCATGAGCTCATTCTCAGTTCTATCTTTTCTGCTACAATCTTTACAATGCACATAAGAACAGAATCTTTATTGTGGCCAATGTCTGGGTTACAAAACTCATGGATACATAAAACTGATATAGATTAGTTAGGGGAACAGATTTGTCAGTCAGGTTGCATCTTACCTATCAAGCGACAGAATTTGGCCATACTTAAATAGAGTTATTTGAATCTGATAGTAAGAGATATAAATAAAACTGATCAGAGTGACCAGATGTACAATTAGCTATGGAATTAGCAGCTCATGGTGAATGTTGACATAAAATGGACAGTACAGTAAGATGTTTGATGGTTTTTTTTTTTCTATAACTTGAGTAGGCAATTGTAGGACCAGTTTAATCTAATGGTTACAGTGCTGGCCTAGAAACCAGGAGACTGAGTTCTAGTGAAATAATAGAAAATACTTGTAGCTCAAGAGACTTCCAGTTTGCATCACAGCAGAACGGGATGCAGGAAGGCAGGGCTCTTCCACGCCTGCTGGAGGCCCTAAAAAGGGCCTAAAATTGCCCCAAGAGGTGATGAAGAGGACGAATGCCTTGTTGATCATGGAGGGATGGCGGTCTTTCCATTCAATACAAGGAAAGCCCTCCAAACCAGCAGGGGAAAGATTGGCTACATTCCTGTGGCCGGCTATTAGCTGCTGAAAACCGAAGAAAAAAGCACCAATTAATACTCGTAAACAGCATGTTTGGAACTGGTTACTATTTTACAACTGAATTTCCTGGGAAAGGCTCCCAAGAAGCTAAAAACTTCAAATGTACACTGGAGCGGCATTTTAATGTTACGGGGGACAAAAACATACAATACTGAAGTGGAAGTAACATAAAGCTATAGTTTTGACTGAGATAACTGTTAAGATTTTCTTTTCGAAAAAAAAAAACCACAATACTATATATGTTCAAATGAGTGAAACGTTTAAATTTATTCCAAAATCAAAGTAAAACTTGATTTAAATTTTTTAAAGCTGTAGCTAAATTTGAAGGGTTGAAAGGCAGAATCCAATCTAGAGACTGGATTTTCCCTGATTCCACTTGGAAGGTTAGATAATATTATCAGGTAGGGGTTAGAAAGAGAGGGGCTCATTCCTAAAAGTCTACTCTTAGAATGAAACCCCGCCCCTCCTTCAGTGTTTTTGTTTGATTTGATTTTCCTACTTAAATTGAGAACAGAGTCAGGCAATCTTTAAGGCACTTTAATTCTGATGTGCTGCAGTCTTCAGCAATTTTTTTGTTTTGTCAAAAATAGCATGAATAGAATAAGGCCTCTTCTGGTTCCAGAGAGAGAAAGAGAGAGGAATATGGCCTGTGTTACACATAAGTGGGGTTGTATTAATGGCATTGATCATTCCTACATACAAAAAAAAAAAAAAAAGCATTCATACTGATACAGTTAGGCACTAAGTTTGCCTTGTTAATAAGCAGAATTTAAGTTTCAGTCTTACCAGAGGTGGCAATAGAAAGTTGGTGCAGAAGGCTATTTTATTTTATTTGGTACAGAACTTTGATCTGATTCCAAAACTGCTTCAGAGTATATGGAAATGCAAATTAGCGTATGTCTGCAACTTTAAAGCAGCTACATTTTTCCTCACAATTACTATCAGGAGTTGCATATAGGTGCTATATTTATTCTGAAGTCCTGTTTGGTTATATGCCAACGTGTGCACAGGACATTAAAAAAAATCAGTTAACAGGACTCTGTTAGAATTGGATTATGTATCCAAGACATTTTCACATAACAACTTCAAAAACCTGAAAAGCTGCCAATGAATTTTTGAAAGTTTCTGGCTGATTTTACTATTATTATTTTAGTTTTATATTTCAGCACAATTTGTACTCATAGAAGATCAAAGCAAGCACACTTTGCTGGTTCTGGGGTTAATGAAAAAGCTTTCCTTTTTAAGTGAATCTCAGGGATTCTCTTTAATTGGGTATTAGGACTGGATCATACTGGTTAATCCCTTATGCAAGCAGCTGAAACTAATCCAGGAGAAAATTCATTTGGGTGGACAAGTTGGTATTTTAAAACAGCTTTATACACTTTACATTTATTTTCATTTTCTTGATCCTTTTTGTTCTTAACTTTGAGCAAATTTTGAGTTCTTGAGACTTATGTGGGAGGTTTCTTTTATCATTATTACCAACTTGGAATGCTCCTGATAGTAGAGGAGAAAAGAGTTGCCACAGATAAAAGAGTAAAGATTCCCAACTTGGAGTAATTGATAATTCCTCCAACTTCATATTTCATTGTGTGCCTTCATAACCAATATCTTTCTTAGTTGCAATTACAAGCGGCAACCAAATTCGTACCTAAATAGAGTAAAACAAATTCTATTATAACATCTTCTTCCTATTTAGGAGAACCATTGTTTTCTTTTTTTATATAGTAATCAGCTGGGACAAATTTATTGTTCTCTCGTTCCAATATTCCTAGGAAGTTCTAAAGACTAACACTAAAATTATGTGCATTAAATGTTATTGTTTTTTCTTGAAACTGAATTTTAATAAGGTTGTTTGTGTCTGAACCTAATATTTATGAGGGACTTTCTTTTTTTTCCACTCAGATTAGTTGATTTCCTTCAGTAGATTGCACTGAAGGTAGAAACTATTTGGAGAGGCAGCAGACGATTTATTGTTTCCTTATGTTTTTCATGTGCCACAGCAAAATCACAGTAGTGAAATTGGTAATAATAACAATATTCTAATTATAGTATCTTCTGTACATCTTCTCTAGTTTTGGGTCAACATAAATCTATCAAGACAGGAAGTAATAACAAAAATAATTAACAAAAAATATTGACACTCATAAATTGCTTTTTCATTTTTTTTAATAGTCTGCATTTAACAGGTATTGTTAGCAAAGCAAATTATTCACATTTTGCTGCAAATATGGCTGCCAAGTTCATAAAATTGAGGGCGGATGGATGGTGGAAGGAAGTACTAAAAGTTACTAAACTACGTACGTTCCAAAAAGGAAGGAAATTCAAATTATGAGGTATAAAAAGACTACTTGAAAATGTTTAATGTTACAGATTTTTTTTAAATTTATAATCTATGCAGTGATTTTTGGAAGATTTAGTATGTTGACAAGAAATTACCATTCTTGACTTATACACACAAATAC